AAAAAAAAAAAAAAAGCAGATCTTACCATGTCCCTTGTCCAACCTAAAACCGTTTATTACTCTTGTTATAAGGACAACGCTTCAAATAGATATACAAGGTCATGCAGTCTTTCTCCACTTACCACTTCTTCCACGTCTAACATTACATTTTTCTTTGCCTTCTGTATTCATGATGGCCTTTCTTTCACTCCCACTTACTTACCATATTCTTTCATACCTGCCTTTGTACTTACCTTCTCCTCTGCCTAGAATTTATTTCCCTCTACTCATCACATAGTAATTTCTGCTAATTTTAAAGAATCACCATTGCTGTAAAGGAGCCTCTCTGACTAGACCACATTTCTCTGTTACAGGCTTTCATAACAGCATGTACTTTTATAGCTCCTATATGATTTGCAATTTCACACTTGTCAGTTTGACTTTTTTTCTTTCTTTTTTGAGATGGGCGGTTGCTATGTTGTCTAGGCTGGTGTCCTGGGCTCAAGTGATCCTCTCACCTCAGTCTCCTGAGTAGCTGGGGCTACAGGTGTCCTCCACTGCACCTGCTGGTCTGATTATTTTATTGATGTTGTCTTCCCTGCAAAACTACATGCTTCTGGAGAACATTTTTTACCCTATTTTTGTTTCTTTGGTGTTCATTACATGTTATTGAGTTATGAATGTGTATAAATGCCAGAAAGTGAGCTAACAGTTCTGAATTATATATATACTGGGATAAAGGCTTACTTAGTCATTATAATAAGGAAAAATTTGTAGTTACAAAAAATAAAACATTAATGCAAATTGTTTTGTCCTCACATAATAAATATACTGAAATTATGGGAGACATTTTAGTCTCTTTAAATAAGTAGACATTCACATTTGTTTACAACATTAATTTTCTTTGCTTAGTACACTGTATTTTTTATAATGACAAGGACTGAAGTGAAGGGATCTAGAGGTATAGATTCTGGCCCTCTTTTTGACACCACCTTTGAGGATTTGGGCAGGGCCTTTGGACAAGTGAACTGTACAGAATAATTGTACAATCCTCATCTAAAATGTGTGTTTGTTGCCTTTGATTGCAATAATGTATAAGCACAAAAGCAGCAAGTTCCAAACCTGATGTGTATTATTTAGCCAATGTACTAAGATTGAAAAAAAAATTACCTCATCTTACTGATAAGGATATTTTAATGGAAAAGTCTAATATATAGTTTTTGTTTTCTCTTAGGATTTTTCCTGGACATCATTCACATGACGAACAAGAGAATTTCTAATAGAAGCAATTTTGATTTTTAAAAAATTGTGTTATTTTTAGTCAGATACAGTCAATATGCTATAAAATTTGCCATTTTAAATTGTAATTTTTATTGGTTTTCAGTATATTTGCAGAGTTCTATAAATATCACAACTAATTTTTTTTTTTTTTTTTTTTTGAGACGGAGCCTCAAGCTATCCCCCTGGGTAGAGTACCAAGGCATCACGCTCGTAGCAACTTCCAACTCCTGGGCTCAAGCGAGTCTCCTGCCTCAGCCTCCCAAGTAGCTGGGACTACAGGCGCCCGCCACAACGCCCGGCCATTTTTTTTGGTTGCAGCCATCATTGTTGTTTGGCAGGCCCGGGCTGGGGATTCGAACCCACCACCTTAGGTGTATGTGGCTGGTGCCTTAGCCGGTTGAGCCACAGGCGCCGAGCCAAATATCCCAACTAATTGTAGAACATTTTTATTAGCTCTATAAGAAACTTTGTACCATTTAACAGTCCCTCCCCATTCTTCCCTTTCTCTAGTTCCTGACAATTGATTTGATGTTTTTAAATTAGAGTTTGCTTTTTGTTCTTTGCAGAATCCAAGAAAACAGGGGCCTGAAACTCAAGGCAGTACAGCTGAATTAATTACAGGGTTGGTCCAACTGGTGCCTCAGTCACACATGCCAGAGATTGCTCAGGAAGCAATGGAGGTAAGGGGAAAATGAATTCTATGCTCTTGAAAGAAAGGTTTTAACTATGTAGATTCTTGATGTTCATTTGATACGTGGTTTCTATGAGAAGGTAGATGTCATTTCTGGACATAGTATGTTTGTGTCTATACATTATTTATATAAAATTCCATGGAGAAAGAAGGCGTTCACTGGCTGCCAGTAGCATTGTGAAAATTTTTGTGCTTAACGAAATAGTTCAAAATTTTCTATTTGCAGTTGGGTTTTTGTATATTTTAATATGATTTTTAAAATTTGAGACATAATTCACATACTATAAAGTTCACCGGTTTAAAGAGCACATTTCATTGGTTTTTAGTATATTCCCTCACTTGTGCAAGTACCACCACTAATTCCAGAACAGTAACCTCATCATTCCCTATTCCCCTATCCTCCAGCAACCACTAAACTATTTTTTCTGTCTCTGTAGATTTGCTCATTTTAGACATTTCATATAAATAGAATCATATAATATGTAACCTTTTATGTCTGGCTACTTTGACTTTGCATACTGTTTGCAAGGTTCCTTCATGTTATGGCATGAATAAGTATTTTATTCTTTTTACTGCCAGATATTCCACTGTGTGGCTATTGATTTTATTTATCACTTGATGGACATTTGAGGTTGTTTATACTTTTTGGTTATTATGCTGCGATACTTGTTTTTATAAAAGTTGTTATGTGGACATATCTCTTATGTAGATATCTAGGAGTGGAATGCTGGACCATATGGTAACTCTCTTGATCTGTTGAGGATCTGCCAAACTCTTTTTCAAAGCAACTGCCACATTTTATATTCCCATTAGCAATATAGGAGCGTTCTAGTGTCTCTGCATCTTTGCTCACACTTGTGATTATCTGTGGTTTTCCTTATAGCTGTTCTGGTGGATGTGAACATAGCTGACTTCTTAAAAAATTATGTTTACATTGCTTAGTTGATGAGAATGTGGTTTTAAGTCAGTTTCACTGAAGTATAATTTATGTAAAATGAAATCATAAAAGAGTATTTCTGATCACTCGTGAAAGATTCCCTGTGTCCCCACCCTCACCCTGGATGTCCCAGACCACTGGTCTGATTTCTGTCACTCCAGAAGTTCTTATGATGGAATCTGAAATGTATTCTTATTTATCTGGCTTCTTTACGGGAATTCATTCATGTCATATGTGTTAGCTCCTTTTTTAAACTGTTGATAAGTATTCCACTGATGATTATACCAGAGATTGTTTACTCCTTGATGGGCAATTGGGTGAACATATTAATTACTGCCAAAAGTTACTTTGTACTCCTTTGTAGTGCCTGCCATCTTACCTCCTCCTGACCCCCTCCTGACCCTTCTTGCCCCTTGTGCGCTCCCTTTCCTACTTTGCAACCACTGATCTGCTTTCTGTTGTTGTAGCTTAGTTTGTCTCTTCAGTAAATGGAATTATAAAGTATATACTTTTTTGGGCGTCACCTGTGGCTCAGTGAGTAGGGTGCCGGCTCCATATACCAAGGATGGCAGGTTCAAACCCGGCCCCGGCCAAACTGTAACAAAAAAAAAAGCTGGGCATTGTGGGGGGCACCTGTAGTCCCAATTACTTGGGAGGTTGAGGCAAGAGAATCGGCTAAGCCCGAGAGCTGGAGGTTGCTGTGAGCTGTGATGCCACGACACTTTACCAAGGGCAATAAAGTGAGACTCTGTCTCTTTAAAGGAAAAAAAGTATGCACTCTTTCATCTGTCTTCTTTAACCCAACATAAATATTATGATATCCATCTATGTTATTGCATGTCAGTAGTTCATTCCTTTTTGTTAAAGTTCATATTTAATAAAGTGTTGTGTTCCATTATATGAATATAGCATAATTTGTCCACCTGTTGATGGACATTTCTATTGTCTCAAGTTGTTAGCTGTTATAAATCTTCTTGGATCATTTATATACAAATCTATATGTGGACATATGCTTCCTTTCTCATAGTTAAATAACTGGGAATGCAAAAATCTTACTGTGTGGTCTTTAAAGAGGTACAGCTTAAATACAAGGATACTAGAAGGTAGACAGTATAAGAATAGAAAAACATGCCCCACAAACACTAACCCGAGAAGGTTTTTTGTTTTTTTTTTCCAACAGCACAAATCCACTTTTATTTACTTTTCTTTTCTTTTTTGAGACAGAGCCTCAAGCTGTCCCCCTGGGCAGAGTGCCGTGGCATTACAGCTCACAGCAACCTCCAACTCCTGGGCTCAAGCGAGTCTCCTGCCTCAGCCTCCCAAGTAGCTGGGACCACAGGCGCCCGCCACAACGCCTGGCTATTTTTTGGTTGCAGCCATCATTGTTGTTTGGCGGGTCCGGGCTGGGGATTCGAACCCGCCACCTTAGGTGTACGTGGCTGGCGCCTTAGCTGGCTGAGCCATAGGCGCCGAGCCTATTTACTTTTCATCAGTTTAAATCCTTGAGGGGTACAGCATTACATGGATTCTGTGTTCATTGGCCTTAGCAGGAAGGTTGCTTTGGAATTTGGCACGAACCATGCCACTGTTTCCATGGGCTCGAGTTATCTTTCCCCAGATTACCCTGGTTTTGTTTGGTTTGCCGCCAGGAGTCACTGTGTTGTTCTTTGCTTTTTATACATAAGCACATCTCTTGCCCAAATAGAATTCAGTTTCATCTCAGGCATAAACACCTTCAATTTTAAGAAGAGCTGTGTGCTCTCTTTGGTTCTGGAGACCTCTCTTATAGCCAGAAAAAATGGCCTTGGACCACAGCCTTCCAGACATATTTGCCTTTTAGAAGTACTGTTCCCAGCAGACCTCCACAGGCCCCAAGATGACGGAAAGAGCTAGACAAAGGTTTTAAAAGAAGATGTATTAACAGAAATCAAGAGGGACATGTTATTGTTACAAAGAGATCCAGCACATCCAGAATATAGAACCACATATGAATCTAATAACAAAGCTTTAGAATATATAAAGCAGGGGTCCTCAAACTTTTTAAACAAGGGGCCAGTTCACTGTCCCTCAGACTGTTGGAGGGCCAGACTGTGGGCCCCAGGACAACTCAGCTGCTAAGCAGGACAGGCATCGGCAGCAAAAATACCTGGCGGGCCGAATACACATCCTTGTGCGGGCTACATGTGGCCCATGGGCCGCAGTTTGAGGATGCTTGATATAAAGCTTCAAAATATATAAAATTATATAAGTAAAAGGAGGTATATAATCCAGTTATAGTGGTATAGTTAAGCACACCTTGCTCAAAATCTGATAGGACAGTCAAAGGTGAGAGGATTTAAGCAACATGATTGTCAAATTTGACCTATTTGACATATACAGAGCATTACACTCAATTACACCTGGCATTTTCTCTTTAAGTACACATGGAACATTTACTATATATATCCTGAGTATGAAGCAAGAGCCAACAGTTTCCAAAGGATTGAAATCATTCAGAATGTTTCCTTGTGACTACAGTGGGATTAAGCTAGAAATCTATAACAAAAAAAATTTATGAAATATCAATGACTATACTGTGTTTTCATTTACTATGTAAATTAATATATAACTGCCATTAAAAATTGTTTTGCATTATCTACTTAAGCTAAGCATAGCAATTCCAGTCCTAGTTATATATCCAACAGAAATATATATGTACATTTACCAAAAGACATACACAAAAATATTAGTATGTAATTTGTAATAGCTCTCTAAACTGTCATAGTAGGATATATAATTTTGTTATATTCATTCAATTAAATATTCTACAATAAGAAAAAGAAGAAGCTACTGCTAAATGCAAAACATGAGTGAATCTCACAGATGTAATATTGAGTGGAAATTGCCAAATACAAAGAGAACACACTGTATGATTTCTTATACATAAAGTTTAAAAACAAGCAAAACTTATCTATGGTGGTAGAAGTCTGAACTGTAGCCTTTTTGTGAAGGGCTAAGGACCAGGAATGGATGTGTAAAAAGCTTCTAGTAATGTTGATCTGGGTAATGTGGGGGTATATGCTTTGTTAAAATTCATTGATTTATATAATCTTAAGATTTGCTACCTTACTGTATATACTGTATGCTGCAGTAAAAATGTTTATAGAATAATTTCACCTCTCATTATGTAAAATCATTGCTTATATTTGTTTCTATTGCTGTTGGCTCTATAACTTGGTACATTAATTTTTTTTAAAAAGGAGGCTATTTGGTAGGAGCTATATAAATATTTCAGTTTTTTGTCCAAGTTAAATTTCTGTGATATTTTTAATCTTATGAATATAATTCAAAAGGAAGAAGCTACACAAATAGATACTCATTACTCCTATTCATAAGAGAATTTTAAAAGAACTTTATTCACTAGTGAGAGAACAGGTTAACACGATGAGCTGTTAAACACTTACTAAAACTAAAACCCAGGTAGATCACATAGCAATATGGAAAAATATTTATGAAATGTCAAGTGAATATACTATGTTTATAGCTTTGTTTTTGTTTTTTTTTTTTTTTTTTTTGAGACAGAGCCTCAAGCTCTATCCCCCTGGGTAGAGTGTTGTGGCATCACAGCTCACAGCAACCTCCAATTCCTGGGCTCAAGAGAGTCTTCTGCCTCAGCCTCCCAAGTAGCTGGGACCACAGGCGCCCACCACAATCCCTGGCTATTTTTTGGTTGCAGCCGTAATTGTTGTTTTGGCAGGCCTGGGCTGGATTCAAACCCACCACCTTAGGTGTATGTGGCTGGTGCCTTAGCCACTTGAGCCATAGGCACTGAGCCATTTATAGCTTTGTTAAACTGTACATAGAAAAGCCAGGTGTGGTGGCTCGCTCAAGTCTATAATCCTAGAACTTTTGGAGGCAAAGATGGGCAAATCATTTGAGGCTAAGAGTTTGAGACAAGCCTGAGCAAATAGCAAGACCCTGTGTCTACACAAAATACAGAAATTAGCCAGGTATGGTAGTACATGCTTGTACCCTCAGGTACTGGGGAGACTGAGGCAAGAGATATCCTAAGC